ACTCCTCTCACTCCATTCCCAGCCTTCTCTCACCCCTCACCATACCTTCCTCCTTCCTAGCCTTCCTCCACACAATAAAATCCTTTAAACCTGACTGATCTTATTGGCCGTGAGTCAGGTCGACTGAGAAGCTGTTGGTGTGTGATTGTATGCCTGTTGGTTCGTGGGTCTGCTGTGTCAGCAAGGCTCTTGGTTCGTGGGGCTGTTGTGTCAGCAAGGCTCTTGGTTCGTGGGTCTGTTGTGTCAGCAAGGCTCTTGGTTCGTGGGGCTGTTGTGTCAGCAAGGCTCTTGGTTCGTGGGGCTGTTGTGTCAGCAAGGCTCTTGGTTCGTGGGTCTGTTGTGTCAGCAAGGCTCTTGGTTCGTGGGTCTGTTGTGTCAGCAAGGCTCTTGGTTCGTGGGTCTGTTGTGTCAGCAAGGCTCTTGCTTCGTGGGTCTGTTGTGTCAGCAAGGCTCTTGGTTCGTGGGGCTGCTGTGTCAGCATGGCTCTTGGTTCGTGGGTCTGTTGTGTCAGCAAGGCTCTTGGTTCGTGGGTCTGTTGTGTCAGCAAGGCTCTTGCTTCGTGGGTCTGTTGTGTCAGCAAGGCTCTTGGTTCGTGGGGCTGTTGTGTCAGCAAGGCTCTTGGTTCGTGGGTCTGTTGTGTCAACAAGGCTCTTGGTTCGTGGGGCTGTTGTGTCAGCAAGGCTCTTGGTTCGTGGGGCTGTTGTGTCAGCAAGGCTCTTGGTTCGTGGGTCTGTTGTGTCAGCAAGGCTCTTGGTTCGTGGGGCTGTTGTGTCAGCAAGGCTCTTGGTTCGTGGGGCTGTTGTGTCAGCAAGGCTCTTGCTTCGTGGGTCTGTTGTGTCAGCAAGGCTCTTGGTTCGTGGGGCTGTTGTGTCAGCAAGGCTCTTGGTTCGTGGGTCTGTTGTGTCAGCAAGGCTCTTGGTTCGTGGGGCTGCTGTGTCAGCAAGGCTCTTGGTTCGTGGGGCTGCTGTGTCAGCAAGGCTCTTGCTTCGTGGGGCTGTTGTGTCAGCAAGGCTCTTGGTTCGTGGGGCTGCTGTGTCAGCAAGGCTCTTGCTTCGTGGGGCTGCTGTGTCAGCAAGGCTCTTGGTTCGTGGGTCTATTGATATGTGCGAGGCTATTGTCACTCTAAAGTAGATTTTATCAAAATATTCCCCTGCTTTACCACAATGTCATCTGTCTGTGGCGGGGATGTAAAATTTGAATGCATTTGGAGCAAAGGGCCAGGCCGAGCCACTGAAGGGTAGAAGGTTGACCAGTGTTTGAAGGGTTATAGAAGAAGACCTCGATACTGTGATGACAATATATATTTTCTGGGTTTATCAATGACTGTCGTTCTTATATCAATGGTTGTATAAGTTTTATGTGGTCATATCAGTGGTTATCAGTTTATCAGTGGTCACAGCTTTGTAATTTTGCTGGGTGAAAGTTTATCAGTTACTTTACAGATCACCTCTAGAGATTCTTTAGTTTATTTTCCCCTCTATGATAGTCTTCCTCTGTTTTTATCCTTCTCACTAGTTTTTGTTTCATCAACATTGATATGAATTAACTTGACTTCATGAACTGGAGTAAAGGCCTGTGTGGAATGCAAAAGTGTGAAGTCACTGATCAAAGGTCCCAACTTGAGTTGAAAATGTCCCCGTATGTATGTAACTAACTTTGAATTGGAATTTTGGATAATGATTCGCGGTAGTTTTTGGAGCTTAAGGACTACTCGGCATATTAGAGGAAAAGCTGCACTAGTGTAACCATGTGAAATTAATAAGGGGGAGAAGTTTCACTTGACTGGATATGAAATCGAATTTATGTGTTGTCAGACATCTGCATGTCAGGCCAAATACCAGAGTGAATTTGGATATGTTGATGCGTAGTTGAGGGTATAATTTTTAAATTAGTGACTTATTCTGTATGGTTTTGGTCTAAGGGACCTGCGATGCATAAGCAAGCTAAATTGCATGTGATGTATGTGGTGAATACAGAGCTCAGGTATCCATTCTTGCGTTCATTGAGAGTCAATGAACACAAGCGTGAAGTATTGCAGCTGTTATCACGCCAAACAAATATGCGTGTACGTCATCTTCTGAATTGGCTTCATTTTACATCATTTCCCCCCAAACTTCTTTCCCTACCAGCAACACCTCATCTCCCTCTATGACACCCTGCCACCTCACTCCTCTTTTCTCTACATCGGCTAATATAATTTCTTGCTGAGATTTCTGATGACGAATATAAGAAAAATCACGAGTCTTGATTTAGAAAACGCAACAAAAACGAGAGTAAACGAAGCAGCGTTACAAATTGGTAATGTGTTTTTGTACGGAACTTCATTACTAGAGATACGAATGAAAATAGTTAATCTGTCAACTAATCTCTCCGAACTGGAAATAACGCACAATAAATCTGTCAACCAACCTGTCTTTAGAACTGGTATATAAATACACTGTCAAGGTAAACTCTTTTATTTTGCGGACACAGCTTGTCGAGAGGGCTAGTATATTTAGTGACAGCTCACCCCTGTTGCAGCAGTAGATCATAATGTGCAACAGCTCACAAAAGACGCAACACAACCTGTGTAGACACATTGCTGCCGTCTCTCAGCCTTCACCTCAGTACAGTATATTCGCGCGAATTACGCATTATCAAAACCCAGTATCCAGTCGCATATATACCAAACCGTTGTAGATTAAACGGAGTTCGCAAGAAGTGATGCACGGCTCGCTGAGATGGACTGCAGATTGCTCAAGTTTGGCAATACAGTTCGTCTAGGCAGACCGTAGATTATCAAAGTTGGTCTCAGGTGTGATTCCTTTGCGACAGTATGGGCGGCGGTGACAGGGGAGCCCCTCATGCATTCTCAGACACAGTGTACTCATCTAGTTGTGCATGTGGGGAGTTGAGCTCTGGCTCTTTGGTCCCGCCTCTCAACTGTCTATCAACTGGAGTACAGATCCCTGAGCCTACTGGGCTCTATCATATCTACATTGAAACTGTGTATGGAGTCTGCCTTCGCCACGTCACCACCACAATTTCTGGGGGCCTGATAGCTGAGTGGACAGCGCTCTGGACACGTAATCCTTGGGTCCGGGTTCCATCCCCGGTGGAGGCAGAAACAAAAAGGGCAGAGTTTCTTTCACCCTGATGCCCCTGTTATCTAGCAGTAAATAGGTACCTGGAAGTTAGACAGATGTTACGGGCTGCTTCCTGTGTGTGTGTGTGTGTGTGGAAAAAATTAGTTAGTAACAGTTGATTGATTGACAGTTGAGAGGCGGGATGAAAGAGCAGAGCTCAACCACCGCAAGCACAACTAGGTGAATACATCATGCCTAATGTATTCCATCTATTAACTATACTCTGACACTGAAAAAGTTCTTTCTCCCTGTGGCTCATTTGGGTACCAAATTTCCACCTGTGTTCCCTAGTTTGCGTACCACCCGTGTTAAACAGTTTATCTACCCTGTCAATTCCTCTGAGAATTTTGTAGGCAGTGATCATGTCTCCCCTAACTCTTCCGTCTTCCAGTGTTGTGAGATTCAGTTCCAGTAATCTTTCCTCGTGGCTCATTCCTCTCATTCCTTCTCAGTGTGGGTGATTCCCAGTATCCAAGACATCTAATTATAAACGGGTTATGTAATTTATTTCGTTCCCCGGAAAGCGGTTTATGATCAAGAGGAACTTCCGTCAGGTGCTGTAATGGTGACAGTGTTAAGGAAGGGAACTCTTTTGAAAGCAGTAGTTGTATCCACTCATCAATGCCTAATTCATGTTATGAATCCTCCCTCCTTCCTTTAATGGATCTAACCTGTTATGAATCTTCAGTTTTATATATCTACCCTACGATGAGTCCCTCTCTTTAGGTATTCAGTCTGTTTACCCCTTTATAAGTCCAGTGTATTAACTCTGTTAATACACTCTGTTAACATTAACTCTGTTAATACACCCTGTTACTCATCCATCCTGCAGAGCGTGTTCACTCACATACGATGTAACACATTCCAAAGGTGAATTAAGTCGCTTTAAATGGAATCATATTGAAGTCTGCTGTTGCAAGAGTGAATACCCTAGTTTTACTGTATTGAAATTTTAAACAAATACACAAACAAATGCACTCAAACAGGCACAAAGGGCCCAAAATATTGAATTTCGACCTTTTTTTTTTTTTTTGCAGGGAGAGAAATCTGTATCGACTTTTTAAACAAATAAACAGCAAAAGGTCTGGTGATTGGACGCACTTGCTATGCAATTGTCAAGTTGCGTTTCCTGCTGACGGGGATGTGAGTGTCCGAGATATCTGCAACGCATGTGCGACATGTCTTTGACGCATGGTTAATTGACATGTTTATCAAGGTACATTTAGCACGTCGATGACGCATGCCTGACAAGGTAACCCCGAATGCCCGACATGTCAGTTACCCATGGCCGACACATTTATAAAGACATGTGCAGCGTACCAATGACGCATGACTACTGTCAGCCAACAATGTGTATTTAATGCGTCTTTAGCATATTCCTATAGCTGCCTATCCACAACCGTTGGGCATCAGAGCACTCCTACCAAATTTATCCAAAATGAATTAATTCAACCTCTGTGTATCTAGCTTAACTTCATCGAACCTGGATTTATCCATCTTGAATCCAGGCGAAAAATTCCAGGTGTTTCTTACGTATTAAGGAGATATATATATACTTGAAATTCATTAATCCATGATGGCTCTATATGACAGTCTGGATATGCTTGAAATTTATCCATGCCTTGTGTATGAATTATCCACGTCGTGTCTATGACTTATCCATACAGCATGTAAGTAGAGAGTCTTTTGGAGAAAAAAGACTATGGAGAGTCTGTGTTGTATCACAGACATATATATACGAGTCATATTTTTTTTTGGACTTGGAGCTTTGTCCCGAAATTCAAGACCGAAAGGGGACACCTAAGGAAGTCCAGTCTGACGCCCAGTTCTCAGGAGCCGCGCTGAGAGGTGGGACGTTTATTAATCATCTGTCCAAGACTCGGGCGCCGGAAAAATTAAAAAGTTTTCCCAGTGCGAAGGGTATAAATCCATCGATGATTGGCGATAACGGCGATAATTTATCACTGGAGATGAGCGTGGGGTGAGGCTGAGAAATAGAGGAGGAGATTACGCCATTTCTCTCTCGCGTGTGGAGGGGTGACCAGAAGCATCCCTCCACACACACACACACACACACACACACACACACACACACACACACACACACACACACACACACACACACACACACACACACACGCACACACACACACACACACTGAGAGGGTACTTATCTTAATACAGGAAGACATTTTTAGTAACAAGATACCAGAAACGTCATCCGTGGAGCAACACAAGATCGGATCGTGTTCAAATTCTCTTGAATTGCCACAACGTACAAAATCAAACGTCCTAACCTAACCAGAAATGCACGAACCCATACAACCCACCAAACTTAACCAACCGTTGTATAGAGAACGTAGATATTCGTGAGCCGCTACCTTTTCATAGTACTCTGTAATTCGTACGTTGGGGACCACAAGGTACAACATGAGAAACGCGCTAAGTGAGAGTCCGGGTTGGAGAATTGTGTAGTTGGTTGATGTCTCTCACTTATACTTGTTAAATATTACTTTTATCTTTAATGTAATTTTCCTTTATTGTGATACATAGAATAATTATTGTTTAGACGTACATGTATACTTATATATATAATATGTATCCTCATGAAAATGTATATGTATTCGCTGAGATGCATGCCCGCTTGCCATCCTGTGAATCATAATATTCAGTCAATCGAAAGTAAAATACCATTCGCCAATCTCGCCCAATTCTCCCAAGCGTATACTCAGGTGACGCACGATTGCCCTCTAAATTCGCCTCCAGGTAGGCATTTGCGACAAATTTGAAGGGACTCCAAACACTGGCTGCAAAATGATGTAGATTCAAACAAACAGAAAGACACTGAATCCAGGCCCAAGACCATTAATTAAAATTCACACAAGAGAACCAAATATTGACACTGACAGGACTTTGACTAACAATGAACCGATATGCAAATGGCGTTGCTAATGAAATACGTGGTATCACATCGGATATGGATTATATATATTATATATATATATATATATATATTTTTATATTAGCCGAAATTGCAATAGAGAGAATTCCATGCAATATGTCAAGGCAAAATTTTAATTATGTTTGACGGGGCATATAAAATATTACTGGGTGAGAAGAGACGGAATAAATATTATTATGAAACATCAAACACAGTCACAGGAGATATATATATATATATATATATATATATAATATATATATATATATATATATATATATCAGTCTTTCCTGTAGACATATATTATTAAATATGACCGAAAAAGTAAGATTAATAATTCTAACACGAATTTTCTCTATCTTTCTTACGTTTGTTTTCACTGTTGATGGTAATTCAAAGATCAATTCTCCAAAATTCATTTTTATTTCTAGTCAATAAAATGAATTTGGAGAATTGATCTTTGAATTACCATCAACAGTGAAAAGAAACGTAAGAAAGATAGAGAAAATTCGTGTTAGAATTATTAATCTTACTTTTTCGGTCATATTTAATATATATATATATATATATATATATATATATATATATATATATATATATATATATATATATATATTTATATATATATATATATATATACACCCGCTTCTCGATGTATATAGGCTGGGAGTTTACTCTAGTCCTGAACATTGTCTAGGATTAAGGTAGACTTGAGGTTGATCAGCAAGCTATTGTTTTGGCCTTGATTGTGTCTATTGTTGTGGACTTGATTGTGGCTATTGTTGTGGTCTTGATAATCCTTAACAGGTTTGTTAGTCATAATGGCAATGCAAAGCCAACAGCCTTGAAATTTGCTATCATGATATAGTCCTTGATAAGAGTCATGGCATTTGCCCTGCGAATTCTGTTGTGTAGTGATGGAGACAATGATGAGAAGATTCACATGAATAAAATTTAGTTTAGCATTGGATCAGTAAAGTGCCTGGTAAGCTTCCCTTTACCAGCAGAGGAAGAGATTCAAAGGAAAGGAAGATACAAGCATAGTGATCGCATCGCGAACCGTTTCTTGGGAAGCATGTAGTGACTTTTGTTCTACCTGGTCGACCGAGATCTGGTCGCTGCCTTGACAAGCAAGCCACCTCAGTGTTCCCAGAGTACACAACGACCAGAGTCACATCTAGCGGCATCAGTAACAAAACTGGTTAACGAAGCTTCCTGCCACAAGGCAAATGAGGCAAGATAAACATATAGGAGGAACAACTATGAAAGCACCGGACACGCATCCAAACCTCCCAACAAAACGGATTTCTTTACGTTATCGTAATTACGACACAAACGCAACATATTCAATAAAGCAACGACTCGCAAATATTCACATTGCCTGTGCATCGGACTCGTAAGGTTAGATGGATTATTTGACTTCGCAAGTTTCTGGTTAAGCTAGACGGTTGGATTTATTACGGAGTGGCAGATCAGGACAATGGGTTGATATGTCTGTAAATGAGTCCTCCCCACACCCCCCACTAGAGGCAGTAATATGTGTCCACTGTGGATGATATTTGTTATTGTGGCTGCCGTCGGCGGCTAGTTTATTGTGCACCCCATACTCATCCTGTGAGCGGTAGCGCAAAAAGCATTACAGAGGGCACAAAAGGTCTTTATCAGACCTCAACGGAGATTATTACACTGGCAATGTCTTCTATCCTTCACACCTTATAATTACAATGTCAGCTAGTTACAGAGAATGATCTATTTCAAGAGCTATATAATTACAGTAAATCATTATACATTAATGGTAGGTCTAATAGGGGGAGTCATAGGGGAGCTGCTGTTTGTTATTATTAGTCTTTATTGTATTTTATTAAATAAAGATAAAAAATTAGTCTTCACAATACACCATTTGTTTCTTAATCTCATATGTCATTTATCTATTGGAAGCGAAATATGGATACAGTGCAAGGATTTCAGGTATTTTATCCTTAGTAATAAGATGGTTTGCCATTACATACAACGTGAGTTTGATCTCTGAATGGCTCAATTTTACTACAGTCCATGATATAGTGTTCGAGTGTGTGTCCCTGTCTTTGTCCATACACTTTACACTTTACTTCATCTAGATCCATATACAAGCCGAACCGCAAGCGATACTTGTAGCCAAGTACTCACCAAGTTGTAGTCACATAGTTGTGCTTGCGGCGGTTGAGCTCTGGCTCTTTGGTCCCGCGTCTCAACTGTCAAGAGCCTGTCTTACTCTTATACGAGCTGTGACAACGTCTCTTAGTCTGCTGATTTTGTTACTTGCCCCATACACGTGTTTTACTTCACACATTTCATTGTGATAAACAATGGACCTGCTTTTTCCTGTTTGCACTGTTCTGCTTTCTTCAAATTCAGAGGCTCAAGAGTCCGTGGTCGTGGTGAAGGTGGCTGCTGGGAGCCCACTCAGGTCCTCGGCGAGGTGGACGCTAGCCAAATCGGTCAACAATGAGCATTTTACCGCTGATTGCCATTGGATTATGGTAATTCTGAGAGAAGATTACGCTGAGAAGGTTTTAAGGTCTGCTGCAGCAGCAGCAGCAACAGCACCAATAGCGGCAGCAAGAACAGTAACAGCGGCAATAGAAGCTGCTGGAACTCTCCTCGTTAACCTCTGGAGCAGAGACGCAAAGTCCAGCGTGGGTTGGTGGGATATATGCAAGTGTCAAGATCGCCCCACTTCCACTTTGGGTAGGTATAAATTGGAGCCTCGTATTGGCCCATACCAGGGCCAATAAAGGCAACTTCTGCAGTTTCCTTTATCATTGTATTCTTACGGACTGAACGTCAGAGGAAGGCACTTCGTTCACTGTTTATCCCAGAAATATAATATTAATTATAATAATTATCTTTATTAGTGTTAATAACATTACAGACCAGTGGCTCTCAAATAAGAGTGCATTACGGCCTTTACTACAGTATTTTGAGAGAATGGAGCCTAATAGCTTATCGAGCTTCGTTAATGAAATAAAGTGTCTGAGTGAGATAGTTTGTGCCCTATAATACTGGCGAGAGGAACCACAGCATCACGTCTCGCTGCCTCTCACGTCAGCACAAGCCAGAGGAACGACACTATCATCTCTCACTGCCTCAGCCCACACTAGAGGCACCACGTCAGCCTTCTCCGCCTCACCCACAACATGTCGAAGATAGGAATTAATGGCTCGACTCTTGACACACAGATGGCGTAAGTATGAACTAATAACCGTGTTGACAAATGGCGGGAGTGTGCCGACGAGGGCATGAATGCCCCAAGGGTATCACAACTCTAGCAAGCTTCCTAATTCAGAGAGGACGTTAGAGCCCAGTTTAGTAACTCCTGAGGTCATGTCTCTGACAGGCGGTCCCAGCCCT